GAAAAATGGAGATAACACCTGAATGTCTCCACAATTGTTCGGTGTGAAATAAAATGGTGAAAGTGTGATTAAAGAGTGTTTTTTCTCCGATTGTGAAACAGAATCAAAGAAAACAGTTCAGAATCTAGCACAATGCATGGTGCCATTCTAATCTCCCTGCTTGTCTGGAACTCAGTATATCTCAGAGATAACAATTTTCTGTGCATCATCCACGGGGTCATTAACCCTACCACTTCCCCCCTTATTGGGGGTGAAGTGCCAGTAAGCTTGGGGCTTCCTGGACAAGTGCAAGGGAAGAAACCTGTGTAACATCCGTTTTTCTAAGAAAGAGGTGAGATATTTGAACTTGGGAGAATGGCGATGCATCTCTTTGTTTTGACCTCTTGCTTTGATGACCCTGGCATGGACACAGGCTCCAGGTTGGCTGTGTCGGTCGAACTGTGGGGCTGCAGGTGTCTGGTTGCAGCTCCTGCCCTGGTCTCATTGCACAGCCTTTATGGAGGACAAGGAATCTGCTTGACTGCAGATTCAGTGGACATTGGGATTCATGATAGCAATTTGGAAGTATTATTCGGTACAAAAACTCTCATAGCACACATGGTAGTAGTAAGTAGCCCTGGAATGGATGATGTAAATCTATGTAATGTGTCCAGCCAGCATGGCTCAGTGGTTGAGTCTCCACCTATGACCCAGGAGGTCACAGTTTGATTCCCGGTCAGGGCACATGCCCGGATTGGAGACTCGATCCCCAGTGTGGGGCATTCAAGATGCAGCCAATCAATGATTCTCTCTCATCATTGATGTTTCTATCTCTTTCTCCTTCTGTCTTCCTCTCTTGGAAATGTAACACAAATTTCCAAGTTGCCCGTGATGACCATACTGATACCAGGTGTGCTACATTAAGCTGACGTATGTTCACACATAAGTGACCATTTATAAAATATTGTGTAGGTTAAGTAGAAAAATAGAAAAGTTGTTAAGAAAGATGGAGTTTTTCCTTCCACACTCAGAGACTCTCAGTGGTAGGAAGGGCTAAAGATGGAGGGGCTGAAAAACACCCACGAGGTCTGGGTTCTTCACAAACCACACAATAGGCCACTGAAGAGTTAAATTTCCTCTGGGGGGAAAAATCTCCAGATTTCATCAAATCTCGCTGGGTTCCAGGAAATGATTACAAATAAATGCAACCTCATCTTTTACTTGGGTATGTAATAAAGATATTGGTCTTTGTTCCGTGTGGATGCTGCTTTATGTTGAAACAGGAGAAAACGGTTGGCAATAAAAGTCTTTTATCTGTGGCCCTTTGGTTATTGATAATCCTATGGGGCCTTTGAACAGTGCTGGCAGGGTCACCGCTGGCTTTTGTAGGTCAGGGCAGGACCTTGTTTGGGCAGAATTGAGAGGAGAGTTTTGAAATGTGACCTCCCCTGGGTATGAAGGATGGGTTTAACGTCGCCAGTGGAAGCCAGTAGTACTGGACCGATCTCTTTATTACTAACAACACCTTCATGTACAGGGGTGAACAGAGGAGCCCTTCCCACAGTCAGAGCCTTTGGGACTGCGAAGTGGGTAAGAGGCTAAGAAGGCGAGAGACTGCCATGGCCTCCACTCTTACGAGGAAGACTGAGCACAGAGAAGGAATAGGCCACAGGCAGTGCTGCAATCTTTTTGCAGCAAGGGTTCAGGAATTTGGAGAAGGGGCTGTGACATGAATGGATATACTAGACAAGAAATACAAATTTAGAAGGCATTGGGGGTGGGGGGGGCAGACACATTCCTACTCTCTAGTGGAGTGGTTTTCCAAATATCTGGACCCACGGCTTTTTATTTACACATTTTGCCCTTTAACAAAGCAAACACCCATATCAAAGGTAAGGCTTGGTAAACAGTAAAAGATTATCAGGTTAGGGATTGCCTAGAACCATTCATTGTCTTGACAGAACAATCAGTGCATAGCCCTTAGTTCTTGCGAGAAGCCCATGGTCCCTCAGCCTTCTGAGGACCTCTTGCATAATTATGACCTGCTGGTCTTAGCCTCCAGCAGGGCAGGGCCACCAGGAGCAAGAAGGCAACAGAACATGGACTTGGGTAATGGACTTCACAGGTACACATGATGTAGGAGGACAAACAAGGAATCCAAGGTCTGTCTCCCTTTTCACCAAGGTGTGGGAAACCTCTAGTTGGAACTTAAAGCTCCTATTTTAATTATTGTTGATCTCTAGCTCCTCACTAAACTGTGAACAACTTTGAAGGAGGCTCCCTTTCATACTGCATGTCCATGGGCATTGAGTATTTGTCTAATGAATGAATACATCTTTATTCTAAAACAGAGGCTCCAAGAAATACAAGTATTAGCTCGAGGGCATGGCAAGTCCAGAACCTGGACCAAGGTTGGCATGTGTATCCCAGACGATGGCCCATGCCATGTATCCTCAGACTGTGAGAAGGACAAAAGATGGCAGGGCATTTGTCACCACCATTAGTCATTTTCCTTATCGACTAAGGCAGTGGTCCTCAATCAGAGACAGTGTTGGCCCCCAACCTTACCCAGGGGAATTTTGACTAGAACCATTTTTGGTTGGCTCACCTGGGTGAGGGTGTGCTACCAGCATCTAGTGGGTAAAGGCCTGTTGTTGCTAAGCATCCCAGCAGGCACAAACAGGGCCTCACAACAAAGAATTATCTGGCCCAAATACCAGCAATGCCATGGTTGAGAAACCCTGTTCTAAGGTCAGTATTAAAACCTTATAATGAAAAGGGGGTAGTTCAGGGACAACAAGAAAGAGCTTGTAGGACATGGGAGGCTGTGCCCTTGTTCACAGTAAGACTTGATGACAGAGAAGGAGCTCTCTCTGTGCTGGGACAGGGGGGTCTCTGGCAGCAGAATCCCTATGTGGTGTCCCCTGCCCCAGACTGAGGACTTTGGGTCACCAGTGACCATAACTTGTGACTTGCACTTGGGTCTCTGTAGACTAAATTCTGGATTCTTCCTGAGATTTTGTCTAGCAATTTGCCATTTTCATTGGGCTTCAACAACATTTTATTTCACTGGTGGGGTGTGGTATGGAACCTTTATCTTTACATAACAGTAGTCAACATGAGGATTCTAAACTGCAATGGTATTCATTGAAAAAAATTTTAGAATACTTACTGTCAGTTTGAGAGGAAGGTCTACTTAATCTCAGAGAATTTCTATGCAATTAAGACTCATCCACTTTTATTTAAACAGAGAAAAATATTTTTGGAATCTTTATATTATTTCAATGGGTTTAGAGATTTCACTAAGTAGCTAAACCAAATTTAGGAAAATGATATTGTTTCCCAAGGAAGTATTTCTCTCATTCGAGTCTTTTTGCTTCTCTCAATAGGGTTGGAGAGTTATCATTATAGCCTTTTTATTTGGGCTTTAGGATAGAGATGGGGTTTCATGGTTAAATAATACAAGAATATAAGGAACTTATGTAATTTCACATATCAGGTTTCCATGAAAACCTACCTTGGCATAAATTTGCCATTCCACATTGAGCTTCGTAAAAAGCAGAGCATCATAAATATGTGCTTTTTGTATAGCTGGAATGTACTTAATTTTAAATTGGAAACTCAAGAAAGCAACTAAGGACTCTTTAAACCCAGATAGGCGATAAAATCTTAGCAACAGATCAAATAAAAATATCTGAATAACTGCCTGCCAGATAGAATGTCACAATAGTTCCTTAGCATTTTACATAACAACCTCTTCCAAGTTTAAATACCTCTTAACTTTCTTTTCAAAGAGAATAACAACAACAAAAATGCTGGCTTATTTCTTCTCCAAAAGTCTCAAATGAGTTTATATGGGGCTAAGCTTCAAATTTACCATTACTAACTAGTCTCTCACTGTCACCTTCAGTGAGTTCTCTCCCTCCTCCCGCCTCACCCCTCCCCCCCACACACACACCATGTTTTTCTTTGTGTAAGAGTTCTGAAAGAGCCATCTGTAGTTCTAATCTTAGGTCATCTTTCATTCTTTATTCCCTCATTAATCTTTGTTTTAAATGGGTCTCAAAATTCTGTGACAGATTTTTGGTCAAGTTATTACCATGAAGAAGTTCTGATTTTAAAAACTAGTAACTTAAAACTCTCTCTCTCTCTCTCTCTCTCTCTATCTCTATCTCTCTCTCTCTCACACACACACACACACACACACACACACACACCACCCCCACCACCCACACCACCAGTACTGATTTTTTAAATGTAACTTAAAAACTGACCATCACCAACCACCACCACCAAATGGTCCACAAAACATTCTCCTTTCCTTCTGAAGGTTAAACCTAAATGTCCAATAGATAAAAATGGTTCTGAGCCCATTCTTCCATCCCTGATTAAGATGGGGATGGCAAGAATTGGGGATAATATTAATTTAACCTTCTGGGCTTTCTGAGCAGAGTGGTGACTGACAGCTCCAGCTGCCTTCTTATCCACTGCTTTGATGACACCCACAATAACTGTCTGTCTCATGTCACAATCAGCAAAATGGCCCAGAGGATAATCAGAGAAACTCTGAACACACAGGGGCTTTCTGGGAATTATATTGACAGATTTATATCTTAATCACCATGGAATGCTAATGATCCTGCGGGAGCCTTTGTGTCAAATAAACATGGAGTTTGGACAGAGAGAAGCAAGGAGCAAAGGGAAAAGCAGGAGGCCCTTTTAGACTTGGATGGGATCCTAAAGAGCATCTTTGCAAGTAAAGATCTGAGAAATGATTCAAGTCCCCACAAAGCACCCACATCTCTGAGACTATCACTCATAAACACAGATCCATTGAGGCAAATGTGTTATATTGTGGTTTTCTTTTCTATCTGAGGCTGCTCATCCAAGAAACTAACATAAAGGTGTTGATTGCCCTGATTTCCAAGTTCAGGCCTATTTAGTTAAGTCAGTCACCTTTGCTTGCCTCTGTAGATGATTGCCTAATTAGACATGGGCCTAAAATCCCAAATAACACCTGCCATGATTGCATCAGAATGCGTGGCTGAGCTGTTCAAAGACCTGCTTTCAAGGAAGTGACATTACTACTGTTTCTACACCAAGCGCCGAGCACTGCCAAGTCATCTGCACCCTTCACCCAAGGTGTTTGCTTTTCACATTTATGGCTGAGTCATCAGCTAAAGATCCTACCAGGTGACAGGTGTTTGCATTTCTACATAGAGAAACTAGATTTTACAGAATTACCTGCTAATAAAACCCCATCTGCCATTTAATGAAATTTAATGTTAATCAAAAAATATATTTTCCTTCAAGTGTAATAAGAAATATGACATAATAATATGGTGTTCAGGTCCTAGCAGGTTTGGCTCAGTGGATAGAGTGTCAGCCTACATACCAAAGGGTCTCAGGTTTGATTCTGATCTAGGGCACGTACCTTAGTTGCAGGCTCCTTCCCTACCCGGGCCTTGGTCTGGTCTCATGCAGAGGCAATCAATTGATGTGTTTCTCTCACATCCATGTTTCCCTTTGTCTTTCCCTCTTTCTTCCACTTTCCATAAAAATCGATGGGAAAAAAAAATAATATGGTGTTTAGGCAGATCAGGGAGAAATAGACATAACTCTCAGGATGGACTGTCCAAACTCCCTTTTGTCCTCAATATTAATGGTACGCTTCCTATTTCTCTTTAACTTTATGTGCCAGGTGTTTCTCAGCATCTAGAAGGGTTCAGGAATCTGGAGAAGGGCTGCATGTAATTTAATGAAGAGACTAGACATGAAATATGAATTTGGAAGGCATTTTGGGGGAGCCAGAACTTGGTTAGCTTCAGTAACCAAGTTTTCTCTCTCTCTGGACCCCTTGCTTTTTTATTAACACAAATTTCCCTAAGGCAAAGCAGATATGCATATCAAAGGTTAAGGTTTGGCGTACAGAAAGCATTGTCAGGTTGGAGGGAACTGCCCTCACCTGTCAGGCAGCAGGCAATACTATGTGCAAATCTTTAGGTTTGGGGAAATGCCTACAGCTGTTCAGCTGTTTGGCCAGCTGCAGGAAATAACATGTAGATTTTCTGGTTTAGGGAAATGCTTTCAGCTATTCCAGCAGGCAATAACACGATTCAGCCCTACTGAATATAGAAGCCCACCAACCTTTTGAGGACTTCTTGCATTTTATTATGCTCTGCTGGACTTAGCTTCCAGCATTTATGCCTGTTAATCATTTCTAATAATTTTATTAGAAAAAAATTAAATTTTATAAGGTGATGAAAGAATGTAGTGATCCCCTGTCACCACCAATACTTTTTGACATTATATTTTATTTATCTACTAGAGGCTGGTGTATGAAATTCGTGCACAGGGGGTGGGGGTGTGTGTCCCTCAACCCATCTGACACCCTCTCCAAACTGGGCATCCCTCTCACAATCCAGGACTGCTGGCTCCCAACCTCTTGCCTGCCTGCCTGCCTGATTGCCCCCTAACCACTCCCCAGTCAGCCAGATGGATGCTTAACTGCTCCCTTGCCAGCCTGATTACCCCTAACTGTCCTCCCCTGCCAGCCTGGTAACCCTTAACTGTCCTCTCCTGCTGGCCTGGTCATCCCTAACTGCCCTCCCTTGCTAGCCTGGTCATCCCTAACTGCCCTCCTTTACCAGCCCGGTGCCCCCCAACTGCCCTCCCCTGCTTGCCTGGCCACCCTAAACTGCCCTCCCTTGCCAGCCTGGTCCCCCCAACTGCCCTCCCCTGCTTGCCTGGCCACCCTCAACTGCCCTCCCCTACAGGATTCCCCCACAACTACCCTCTCCTGCCGGCCATCTTTTGTCCACATGGGGGCAGCCATCTTGTGTGTTGGAGTAATGGTCAATTTGCATATTACCTCTTTATTATAAAGGATATTGAACATGTGTTTAACAATATGAAGTAGTTTGAAAACATAATGCTTCACCCGCAACTATTTCAACATATATTATCCTACACAAAAGACATAAAAATTTAAAAAGATTCCTTTATATCATCTGAATTGTCCCCCAAAGGTAATGTATAGTTATTAATCAAAATCTTATCAAGATTCACAAATTGTATTGGTAGTTTTGTCTCTATAGTAAAATTTTAGAACATTCAACACACCATTTTTGTTTCCACATTGAACTAGAAGATTTTGGTGGTTTTGCTAATCTTCACCCAAGGGTATTTTTTCCATTGATTTTTAGAAATGGCGATAGACAGAGAGAGAGAGAAACGTCGATATGAGAGACACACATGGACTGGTTGCCTCCCACATGAGCCCCAACCAGGCTGGGGATCGAGCCTGCAACCAAGGTACGTGTCCTGGACAGGAATCAAGCCTGAGACCCTTCGGTCTGCAGGCCGACACTCTGTCCACTGGGCGAAACTGGTGAGGGGGACCTTGAGAATTTAATAATAAAGCTTTACTGCCATGTTAAGTGGTCAACATTTTTGTGTGTTATTGCTGCATTCCCAGGTAATTCCATAGCACCATGAAGATATAAAATTCACTGTTCTGGACTCTACAACAAGAGTGGGCAATCTTTTTCTTGACAAGGCAGAGAATAAATATTTTAGGCTTTATAGGTCTGGAGACAAAGTTATGGATATTATATAAATGTGTATATATAACCGTTTAAAATGTAGCCATTAAAATAGGGAAAGCATTCTTAGCTTGTGAGCTATACAAAAACAGGCAGCCGGCTGTGTTAATCTACAGGCCATAGCTTGCCCACACCCTTTCCTGTTAGGAAGCAGTGTTATTACATGTGATCTTTTAAATGTGGGGATGTTGGGCTGAAAACAACCAAACTCACAGTCTTGCTAAGAAAGTATTTCTTTTGGCATGAGATACAGTAGTTTACTTCCTTCTCTTTGATTTTCGGTATGCTGACATTACAGTGTGGTGATTGTGGGGTGTAGGTGGATGGAAGTGGAAGAGGATGTAGAGGGGAATAAATGGTGATGGTAATAAGGGAAAAAATCCTGAGATGCATTATTTTAAAATATAAATATACACCCAGTAATGTTATTTTTTAAAAAAATAGGATTACTTGCATCCTAAAAGACAGCGTTAGAGAAATGCTGCTGAGGGTAGACATGACAGGAGCCATTTCTGGACATTCTTTCAAGCAATGCCCACACCACATACGTGGTAAGATATCTTACTAGAATGAATAAATACTAGCTATTGCCCTGGCCTGCTGGCTCAGTTGGTTGGAGTGTCGACCCTACACCAAAATGTTGTGGGTTTGATTCCTGGTCAGGGCACATATTGAAGGGAACCAATCAATGTGTCTCTGTCACATCAATGTTTCTCTCTCTCTCCCTTCCTCCCTGTCTAAAGTAAAAAAAGAAACAAAACATGCAAGTTTTTAAATAAATAAATACATACCTATACATATATACTAGTTATTGTGATATATATGTATGGTCATATGATCTTATGGCTATAAAAGAAAACCATGACATATGGAAATAAACTCTCCTAATGAAGTTCTTTCTCTGTCGAGTCAAAGTTAGCATGCAGGCATGTCTGCTCCTTATCCCCACCACAGCTTACCAAAATGTATCTCATAGGACCTATCTCATTACATCAGTACTCACCATTCATTTTCCCCTCCTTCGCAGCTTAAAATGTTATAGGAAAGTCCTTATTAAACATATGAATTCAAACCAAAGGCAGCAAGTGTTGAGATGTCACTTGTCTTAATAGTGATGTAGATACTTGAATAGCTTCATTAGTAAATCAGCCAATCACTGGTGTTAAGGAAACAAGCCAGGCTGGGTCAGCAAATTGCAGAAAGGATTTACAAGTGTAATATTGTGTCCCTGTAAGAAGGACATCGGCATTCTTTTTCTGTTTCCACGCGAGAGTAGGAATGACGTAGATTAAAATAAAAACAACGTCTGAGGAAAGTGGGTGAGCGAGTTGCAAGGGTAAGTCAGGAGGGACAGTTGCTACAGGAAAGTCTCCAAGTGGCCCCAGAGTGTGAACGATAAGCATATTTTCTGCTTTTATTTCCAGCCTGTGACACAGAAGTTGATGAGGGCCTGGACATGGAGAGCGTGAAGTATGATAGCTCTGTCACCAGGGATGCAGAGGAGCTCCAAGGCAGATGCACAGATGATGTCCACTGTCACTTTGTCACCTAGGCAATGGGCAGTTTCCAAGCCCAGACCACCAGTGAGTGAGCCCATGGACATGACATTATCTGACGGGGAGCAAAAGGGGGATTCCTTAAAATTAGTTTCATCCATTTGATGCCAACATTTCTTTTTAACCCATGAAATATTTCTATAATAAATATTTATAGTTTTCTTCATGCAAAGTCCCACCTTTTTAAACTGGCAATTTTGAAACAGTTAAAATTGGCCTGACTATTCCATTCCCAGCCTAAAGGC